TAATTCCTTGCAAAAATCAGCAGTCATTCCCTCCCATTCGTCTTTCAATAACTCCCATAGGTGATCCTGGCTTTTAGGGTTTCTTTTCTGAGCCCTTTCTCCAATTATCCTCCAAACATTTTCTATTGGATTCAAGTCGAGGCTCTTTGTTGGCCACTTCATTAGGGCCATTCCTTCTTCAAATAAGGTCATAACTTTCTGAGCCTTGTGGCAAGGTGCATTGTCCTGTATGAAAATAGGAGATTCATAAAGATTATGATGTAATCTTGGTACCACATGCTGCTGAAGAAGCCTTTTGTAAATCATTGATATTGCCATGTACGCGGATGATAGGGCCAACTCCTGCAGATGAAATCATTCCCCACACGATCACACTGCCACCACCAAACTTAACGGTTTTCTTGACTCATTGAGAAAGCAGTCTTTCACCTGTTCTACGGCGTACGTAAGTTTTGCCCTCAGAACCAAATATACTAAACTTGGACTCGTCACTGAAATGAACTGTATCCCATTGTGCGTCAGTCCAAACAACATGTTCTCTCGCATACTCCAGGCGTGCCCTTTGGTTTCGCTTTGAAATGAGAGGCTTCGAAGCTGGAATACGGGCATGCAATCCTGCATTTTTTTAACTTGCAAGCAACCGTTTTCCTTGAGATTTTATCTGTCTCTTCATTAAATTTACGGGCAATTGATGTAGCAGTTTCAAAACGGTTTTTTATAGATATTCTAACAATTCTTCGATCTTCTCTTTGCGATGTTTTTGGAGGTCTGCCGTTTTTGGTTTTGCATCTAACGTTTTATCGGTTTTATACCTGCTAAATATACAATGAAAGACACTTTTAGACCTATGAACAATATCAGAAATTTCTGAAATTGACTTTTTCTTTTCTTCAAAAGAGAGCGTTTTGCGTGTAGAATTTGCCATATTGCTTAAAAATAAAGTCCTAATGATAAATGAACTTTTACTTATTGTTGAAAAGCTCCATCGATTTTTTTAACAATGTAAATTAAAAGTTTATGCAAATTATTAACATCGTTCCTTAACTTTTGTCCAGTAGCTTATTTCCTTTGTTCCATTTAATCTTTATTTTAAAAAAAAACTATCATGTAAATTTTTGTAACTTTATATAATATTTATGCATTACACCCTAATCTTTATTCGGTAAAAATTTCATTGCTAATTATGCATTACTTTTTAAGTAATACACATATTTATGTCTTTGTTGTTTCCGTTCCTTATATTATGGCTGCAACTCTCTCTCTCTCTCTCTCTCTCTATATATATATATATATATATATATATATATATATATATATATATATATATATATAAAATCAACAATGAAAGATTGAAAATGAGGAAAAGATTGAAAGCGATAAAGTTTGGATTAGAGAATCAGCTCAGTCTAAAAAAAAGAAACAATTATACTTACTTAATGTTTGTGTATAAAAGCGGAGTGCTAGATTGGTAATTAGGTCTCCTGATTTTCCTGTTGAAATTGCTAAATGTAACCTGAAGTTCTATGCTCACAGTTTCTTCCCTCGCTTAGGGAACTCTCTTCCGGACTCTCACTTCACAGTAAATTTGATCTTCAAATACTTAAATGCAACGTATGTCATCATTATTTCCCTTTCCTTGAATCCCATCCTTTTATGTTTCACCAGATTCTTTCACTCTCAGAAACCCCCTGTATCTTAGTGGCCTTATCACCTTGATTGGGATGAAATTTGTTTTATAAATTACTTACAACTATCTATTTCGATTTTTGTCTGAACCTATCTAAATCTTTTCATATCAATTTGTTCATATCTAAGTCTGCTCACATATAGATATAATCATTTTCATTTTATTCACTTTGTTATAACTATTCCCTTACTTTACGAAGGATAGATGTAAACACAGATTCTTTCATTCTGCAGCTTAGACGTAAAGATTGTCTCGATCAATCAATGAGGCTGATGTAACCATTTTTTACCATTCTATCGGAGCAATACCTTCACAACAACAGAAGTCTTTTTATTGACAATGGAATTCCATTTTATACACTAAAAGAACTCTTGAATGGCAGTGCTTAAAAGGTATATGGCCAGGTCAGTCTACTGATATGAATTCTATTGAAAATGTCTGGGTCTTTGGATTGTGGAATAAAGAATTTGTCTCGAAGATTACCTGCACGAGAAAATGTGCTTTGTGCTGTAAATGTAGCTGGGCCGAAAAACGCAACAGATAAGAGACGAAATCAGATAAACTCGACTCTAGAAGATAAAAGAAATAGCATTTCTGAATGTCTTCTTCTTCATCTTGGTGCCGTGTCCCTTCAGATCGTTGGCGATCATGACACTCCGCCACTTCCTACTATTTATAGCACTTAGCAAACTTTGTCCGAAGCCTCCCGCCATCTCCCCACATAAACTTGTTAAATAGGTCTCTTTTGCTTTGATACGTCCTGAGAGTGTCAAAGTCGCCCAGCCCTCTACCATTATTATGTGTACAAGAAATAACAATTTCTTTGTTATTCTAATTCTCGTTTTTTTTTTCATTTTCATTAATAAATCCTTGTTTACGCGTTTCGTCCAAGGTATTCTCAGCATCCTTCTGTAGAATATTTCCCTTGCTTCCAGTTTTCCATTTATTTGTGAGGCAACTGTCCAAAATTTACTACCATACAAAAGGATTAATATTACCATAACAGTTCCGTAATCATTTCTTCGTTGACGATCATGATTCTCCACAACCCCCTACTTTTTATAACCGTTAGCAAACTTGGTGCCAAGACTTCCGCCTCCTCATAAGCTCGTCAAGTAGGTAGTTCGTTGCGTCCTTCTGTAGCTTTCGCTTCGATACGTCCTGTGAGTGTCAAAGTTTCCCAGCCCTTCTTGCTCAGAATGCGTTCAAGAAATATCAACTGTGTCTTTCTGATTCTAAATCAACCAGCCAGCCATCATTATCTGAATCTCCAGCTCGCGATCAGCCGCAGCTCCAGCCATCCTCGCCAGTAGAAACGATATGCTAGAAACTGTCCTTTTCAGGGCAATACTTTTTAGCAAGCACAAAACTGTCCTTTTCAGGACAACTCTCCTCACCGAGTACAAAGCTGTCCTTTCCAGGACAACTCTCCTCACCAAGTACAAAGCTGTCCTTTTCAGGACAACTCTCCTCACCGAGTACAAAGCTGTCCTTTCCAAGACAACTCTCCTCACCGAGTACAAAGCTGTCCTTTTCAGGACAATTGTACTCAGCGAGTACAAAACTGTTCTTTTCAGGATAACTGTACTCACCGGGTCCAAAACTGTCCTTTTCAGAACAACTCTCCTCACGAGTACAAAACTGTCTTTTTCAGTACAACTCTCCACACCGAGTACAAAACTGTCCTTTTCAGAATAACTTTCGTCACCGAGTACAAAACCGTCATTTTCGGGACAATGCTCTTCATCAACTACAAGACTTGTGGGTGGGGGGTTAAGCCCAAAAGATTGGAGACCAAGCCTTATAAGTTTGAAGCCCTCAGAATTTTGTAATACCTTTAAAATCGGCGGGACTTTTAACACAGTTTGACAATTTTACTCGTTACACGCACATCATCGATTTCACTACATCAGTGATAGTTTTTCTCGACTAGATCGTTAACTGATACACGACATTAACAAACCGAGCACTTATATGTTAATTGCTAATTGCTTTTTTTTTTCTATTACAGTTTTCCTAGCGAAATCTGTTGAGAAGTGTATATGGACAGCGAAATGTGAAAGACAGACATTAAATCTAATAAATTTGTCATCGGAAACTTTGGTTTGGGTTTATTTAACAGCATGTCAACACTTTATGGGTCATTTAATATAGAAATATTATTTTCTTGCAGGCATTGGTAATTTGTTTTTAAATGTATTGTTGGTGTTTTTTTGTTGTTGTTGCTTTACTTTGAAAATGTATTGCTGGCAATTGTCTCTAATCTATTTTATATATTCATGTTTTGACACAAGTTTGGGCGTTCACTATATGACTATAACTGGTAATCTAGCACATTTCGATCTGGGGACTTGCAGCCGAATGTAGTTTATCGTCATACCTAGGACGAGCGACCGGAAATGTTTTTTTTAATTACCTTTAAAATAAGTGTTTTATAGCCTGAGCCTGAAAGTTTTTTTGAAAAATTTATGTTTAAAATCGGCGTTTTGATGACTGTGAATCCTTTTTTTTAAGTACCTTCAAAAATCGCAGTGAATTTGAACTCGGTTTTGACAATTGCACTCTATGCGTCAATAGCCGTTACTCTAAAGGTACATTATCGAGCTCACAGAAGTGATAGTTTTTCTCGATTACCCCGTTAACTGATACACGATGCTAACGCACCGAACATTTACATGTTCATTGCGTTTTTTATTACAGTTTTCCTGAAAAAAATGGGGGTGGGGAATAAAAAAAGTTAAAACCTCCATAAAATGAGCAAGTGAAAACGTCAAACCCTTGAGCGAAACTTGAGCTTTCTTTCATGAAAACTGCATTCGGGTTGAGGGTCCTCAATACAGTACCGGTATTTATTGCTTTCAATCAGATGAAGGAACATCTTTTTATACGGGGAGAGAGGACGTAAAATGGCGTTTTCTGCCAGAGTTAAGGACCCTCGTCTTAAAATTAGACGTATGTGCCCCAAGAAAAAGAACCGTAGAATGAAATGATAATTTCACCAAGTAACATTCAAGACACGTGTACACATACTCGCAAATACCCTGGGTGCATGTTTTATGGAGGGTGCCGTGTGTGTGTGTGTGTGTGTGTGTGTGTGTGTGTGTGTGTGTGTGTGTGTGTGTGTGTGTGTGTGTGTGTGTGTGTGTGTGTGTGTGTTAATTTTGTTTGTGAGTGATGTTAGGAGAAAAAATAAGAAAAAATTGTGAACACAGAGAGGAAAATAAAATGGTGGGGAATTGTTAAAATAAGGAGACTAAAATGAAGAGAGAGAAAACGTCAGGGAAAAAAAAAGAGTGAAAAACAAAAAATAGAA